TATCTGAGCTCTCCTTCAGTTCTGGTTAGTCCCTTAGAAGGGGAAGTGTTTACTCTCTACTTAGCTGTCTCAGACTTCTCAACCAGCGCAGCGCTAGTAAGGGAGCAAGACAGAGCTCAGCAACCAGTTTACTACTACAGCAGAGCTCTCAGGGGACTGAAGAGAGATACTTAAAGATGGAAAAGATTGTATTGGCTTTAGTCACAACTACTAGAAGGCTTAGACCATACTTCCAAGCTCATACTGTCGAGGTTCCAATAGATCAGCAGATGAAGCAAGTGCTGCACAAGCCAGAGTCTCCGAGAAGGTTAGTTAAGTGGGCTATCCAGCTCAGTGAGTTCAATATCAGGTACAAACCAAGAATGGCTATCAAGGGGTAAGTTCTAGCGGATTTTATAGCAGAATTCACAACAGAACAACCCATGAAAGCAATGCAACTGGTACCTGACCTTCCTACATGGAGACTTTCAGTAGATAGAACTGCCAACGTTCAGGGCAGTGGTGCTGGCTTAATCCTGACCTCTCCCGATGAGATAGATCTGACCTCTCCCGATGAGATAGATGTTAAATACGCTCTTAGGTTTGGATTTAAAACTCCAAACAAAGAAGCAGAGTACGAGGTTGTTATAGTAGGGCTCAACCTTGTGCACTCGATGGAAGAAGAACAACTTGAGGTCTATAGTGACTCACAACTTGTGATAAAGCAGATAGAGGGGTCTTATGAGGCCAAAGGCGAAAAGATGGCTCTTTATCTTAGAAGGGTACAAGAGCTAATCAAGAAGTTTGTGCAAGTTAAATTCAAACACGTCCCCAGGACAGAGAATTCACGAGCAGACGCACTAGTAAGGTTATCAACCGCTTCTCAGGGGAACTTGGATAGGTTGATTCTAATGGAACACTTAACAGAACCACCAGTTGGAATTCACAAAGAGGTGCTCCCGATCATGAATTTAATAAGCTGGATAGACTCTATCCGAGACTACCTGCAGAATGGAACCCTTCCAACGGGACCCTAAGGAGGTAGCAAAACTAAGGGGTGAGGTCGGTCAGATTCTCCATCTTACAGGGAAGTCTGTATAAACGAGATTTTTCAACACCTCTCCTCAAATGTGTGGGGGACGAAGACACGAGCTATATAGTTAGAGAGGTTCATGGGGGAGTATGCGGTAACCATATTGGAGCCAGTGCTTTGGCAGGAAAAATTTTAAGGCACGGATACTATTGGCCCACCATGATCAAAGATGCTACAGACGTGGTTAAGAAGTGTAGGGTCTGCCAAATGCATGCCAATATTCTCCATTGCCTACCAGAGCTCTTAACAACGATAGTAAGCCCTTGGCCATTCCAACAGTGGGGCTTAGATATTCTAAGGCCCCTTCCAGTGAGTGTGGGATAGTGCAAGTTCACCATTGTTGGAGTGGATTACTTCACAAAATGGGCAGAAGTAGAGCCCTTGGCAACAATTACAAAGTAGAAAGTGTAGAACTTCGCCTGGAAGTCCATAGTCTGTAGGTTCAAAATTCCTAAAGCGATCGTCTCTGACAATGGAAGACAATTTGATAACCCAAAATTCAAAAGGTTTTGTGTCGAGCTTGGGATAAAGAACTACTTCTCAGCTCCTGCTCATCCTTAATCCAATGGGCAAGCAGAAGTCACCATTCGAACCATAAAGGCAGGCTTGAAGACTAAGCTAGAAGCCCTAAAAGAAAAATGGGAGAAGCAGCACCTCGAGGTATTATGGGCTTATAGAACTACAGCCAAGACAACCACACAAGAAACACCGTTTGCTTTGGCTATCGGGACCGAAGTTGTTGGCCCTGTTGAAATTGGGCTCCCATCTCCCAAGGCCGAGTTCGCAAAGCCAGAACACAATGATGAGTTGCTTCTGCTCAATCTTGATCTTCTGGATGAAAGAAGGGATAAAACTCAACAACATATAGAGAGTTACCGATGGAAAACGGCTAGGTATTATAACCAAAAAGGTAAGACACAAGAATTTCAAGGCTGGGGATTTAGTGCTTAGAAAACTTGTACTTGCAATAAATGACCCCTCCTATGAAAGCTGGGTCCTAATTGGGAAGACCCTTACATCATATCAAGGTTAGTCAGACCTGGAAACTATGAGTTATGAACCGAGGAAGGGAAATTTTTACCTCATACGTGGAACGTGGAGCACCTTAAAAAATTCTTTCAATAAGTTCCTCTTGTAATAAGGATATATTCAACAAAATAGTGAGTTTTTGGTTCTTCCCTGTGTAAATCCTTGGAGTAGCTAAAAAACTAAATATGGGCTCTTCAGCTCATAAACCAAAGATGAGCTCATCAGTTCATAAACCAAAGATGAGCTCTTCAGCTCATAAACCAAAGATGAGCTCATCAGCTTATAAACAAAAGATGAGCTCTTCAACTCATAAACCAAAGATGAACTCTTTAGCTCATTAATAAAAGATGAGTTCTTCAGCTCATAAACTAAAAATGAGCCCATCAACTCATAGACAGAGATGAGCTCTTCAGTTTATAGACTAAACATGAGCTCTTCAGCTCATAAATTAAAGATGAGCTATTTAGCTCATACATAAGCAAAGAGCTCTTCTGCTCATGAGTTTAAGACAGGTTCTTCAGATTATAAGCATGCAACAAGATTTAGAGCAAAATCGCAAGCATAGCAATCGACAGAAGAGAACTTAACCATCAAGTAAAACAAACATTCAAAATTTCTATAGCAATATAATGAAAGAAGCAAAAGGAATACAAGGGAAGTTCTTAGTTCTTAATCACCCTTGAGGCGTTTCTTGAGCTCAGCCACCTCCTCCCTTAGGCGGACATTCTCTTCCTTTAGCTCATCTCTCTCCTTCTCTGCCTCTGAAAGAAGATTCATGAGTTTCTGCCTAGTTGAAGAGAAAAGAACAGTTCCCAGCAAAGATGAGGAAGGAGAAGAGCTGTCTAGAGAACTGCCCCTCTTACGCTTCGTGGGAAAGGTACTAGCATCCTCGCCTTCATCGAACTCCGAAGGAGAAGGATCAGAGTCTGGGCAAGAAACAAAATTCTTAGCAGCTCTCACAGGATTGAACAAAAAGAGGTTGTCTTATGTTATTAACTTAAGAAAGGACGTGAGCTCAGCGTGGACTATCTGTTCGACTCTCATCACCTCCACCAGGTCTAGGTCAGAAAGACCTGTAAAGCAAAACAAATTTTTTTGATAAGGGCACACCATTGTATGGCCTAGCCAATAAAGGCAATCAAGACACTAACCTGAATAAGAATAGCTCCCCCAGGACCGAGGAACTCTGCACTCTCTGTAGTGCAGCTCAGTGGACCTCCAAGAGTCCCTTGAAATAAAAAAAAAACGTTGAGCCCATCCCTCAGGAGGAGAATGAAGGTCAAGCACTAGACGTCACAATTTGAAATGCCTCCACCAAAAACAAATAAAGCATGGGACCTTGTCCTCTTCAAGATCAAAGAAGTAAAGAAACTCGACTACTGTGGGAAACTCGCTATTGTCCCGTAGGCGCCAAAAGAGGAAAAAGCTAATTATGGTGGCCCATTCCTTAGGGGAGAGGCGAGAGGGACACAAGCCACAATGAGCCAAGATAAACCCAACAGAAGGGTGGATGGGAAGACACATACCCATCTCTAAAGCTCCTTCGAAGAAACAAGTCTCCCATGGAGGAAGATAATTGCAAGGCTCATCAGAGGATAAGGCCCGTAGAGACAATTCCAAGTCAAGGAAGAACCTCTTCTTTACCCCATCCAAATTTGAAGACGATATTGTTGAAGGAACTAAGTAGCGAGAGTGCCATTTCGACTCAATCCCAAATGAGGTTCGTTCCTTGAACAAGGGCGAGACAAGGGCAGCCATCAAAAGACTCAGAGAAGAAAAACATAAGAAGAAACAAGGATTGATAAACCTTTAGGATTCAAGAAAAGACTCAAAAAGTAAAGAAAATCCAAGAAATTATGGCAAACCTATCAGGACACCGATTTTTTATAGAATCAAGGAACGCACGAGGACCGAAGTCGATAGACCTTTGGATTTTCCAAATTGAAAAGGTTATTATACTTTTGAAAAATAAATTGGCGCAAGGAATGTAGTCCACCATCCAATGCTCCCTTGAGGACACCAAAAACACAACTACCAATAGTTCTTTATAAGCGAGCCTCACAAGCCAGTCGTAGAAAGAACAAGATTCAATGGAACCCTAAGATTGCCAGTAGATTAGGGAAACAAAGGATGCAAGGAAGAAGAAGAGCTTAGGGAGAAAACTCAAAGAGCGAAGCAAGGATTGTTCCCCCTCAACTCAGTGACATTTTTGTACAGCTTAGCCCCTGTCCAAGCCAGCTTGGAACAAGGGCTAGGGGCAACTGATGATTCTTAAAAGAAATTTCAATTAAATATGAGCCCAGGAGCCGAGGTCAGATCAGGAGGTCTAACAAGGCATGCAGGGCTTAAGGGACCAAAGCTAGAGCTCCCTTCGGATGAGTCAATAGTAGAGGTGATAATGAAACATCTAGATAACAGCAGAGCTAGAGTCCAAGCACAAACCTCTCAACCAACCGAGATCCTCTCCCAAAATCAAGGGAGATTTTGCTAAGATCACGCCTAAGACTTCGTAGGGATTGAAATTACACTATAAATACTATACAATGTCTCCAAAATTAGGGGGACCCCGAGTTGTGTGAGAAGCACGCTGTAAATTCCATTCTCCATTATTAAGAAAAAAGGAGCAAGAGTCTCCATTGAAGATTGGACTAGCCGAACTCCCGAGTTGGCGAACCACTATACTTTCTCTGTGTAAATCCCTTCAATCCCTAAAATCCTTGATCATAACCCTCACAAGCCTTGAAGCTCAGACTCAAGTTGCCAATCATAATTCCTACCTTCTGCTTGCCCACGTTAATTTACACCATCATGAAGAATTCTTTTGAATCGTAGATTCGAACTGGATTAATGATGTCCGAACAGATTCACTGAGCTTGACGAGTGATGTCAGTGCTTGAGATCAGATGTCGGAGGATGATTCGAAGGAGAAGATGGACTCGATCTCCGGCCAGTGATTGGCAATTGTTGTGTACATGTCGAGAGTCCGAAATATTCTTTCTGGTGATTTCTTGCTGTTTCTCGCCACATTTTCTGGGAATCCAAAGAGAATTCACGCTCCTTCTTTAGTTATCTCAGTAAAAGTTGACTCCCTAATTATTTTCGAGGATGCAAAGACGTGATAGCAAAGAATTCTCTCACCATTGAAGAGAGTTTTAATTGCAATCCTCACAACATTCAACCAATTCTTGATTCTCTGCTCCAAAACTTCCCAATCCATCTTACGTAGGTGTGAAGAGCTCAATTTCTCAACTCCGACTCTATATATGCCTTCATCAACTATCGATTTCCTTATAATTTTGTATATCTTCACGCATTCTTTACCATATCCAGAGGAAACCATACACTCAGCAATTGATCTTAAATCTACCATGGCCATATTCGAAACATCTTCAACTTCTAAGATGGAATCGCCAGCAATTTTAATATCATCTTTGGGTCCATTATCACCGTTTTCGTAGTTGGATGTGCTCGATGGAGTTAAAGCATGTGACGATCGAGCCAAGACCGACTCAGGATCCAAATAAGCACGGTTCAAAGAAAGAATCTGATAAAACTCTTTTTGGAGTCGTTTCATGGAGATTTGCAACAGGTTCTAGGCACGAACGAGCTTCTCTGAACCAGAATTCTCAGAGCCTAAAAAGTGCATGCCCATTTGCAAATCGTTGACGTTCATGATGAAATCATTGGCCTCACCATGGTTCTCGTAGAAGAGAGAAGTGAAGTTTGCGAATGTTGAAGTATTTGGGTTCCTTTTTCATGATTATGGAACCGGTGAATTCCAGAGTTCGATCCATAATAGCGTCGGAGAACAAAGCCAGGGAGTTGAATTTGGAAGTTCGGTTCTGGAAGGCAAAGGGAAGTTGGAACTAGAAGGAGATCTTTTCGGGGAAAATAAAAGGTTCTTTATTCCTTTATATGGCATTGCATTGAAGAGATCAAAGCTAGTTTAATTCTTCAAGAATCAAGAAAGAAGAACCAATCAGCCTATGATCAGGTAATTAAGCTTCTCTCTCGGCGTTTTTTGTTAGAATGTGGGTTTGTATATATATATGTGCAGCTCTATGTTTCAAATGTGAGTTTTGGGTTTGATACTCTACACAATTATGTGAGTTCAGTTGTGTTGGTTGAGGGAGGATACATATATAGACCACAGAGGGTGGAGAGATGGAGGAACCAGGCTGCAGATAGGTAACTTGCGGCGAAAAGTGACGGGCCATGACTTTTTTTACGCGCTACACATACCGTATAAACCACAAGTTATACCTTCCCAAGAAATTCTCTCACTCGTGATTTCTTGGAAAGTTATTCTCTCAATATTCCTTTACATTCAGACTCCATACCATTTGTCATTTAAGCACTTAAATTTTTTGATAGTTAAAATATTATATATAACTCCCTAAAATTTATACGCGTATAACACTTAGACCGTTGTCATCAATGTTGGTTAATATATCTATTAGTAAGTTATATCCAAACCTTCTGAAGTTTGTAAGCATGTAATACTTAGATCTCTCAAGATTAAAATGTTATATTTAGACAAAAAATGTCCCAAGTAAAGATAGGATATCAAATATTTTAAATTTTATAACTAAAATTCATGTTCTATTATAATATTTATTGAAATAAAATTAAAAATAAAATTTAATTTTTAAAAAAAAATTATAATTAGTATGCAATTATACTATCTATTGGAATGCAATTTTGTTCTTTAAACAAACAAATTATCCCAATTAAAGCTAGAATATATTGTGTCTACTACAGTTTGACCTCTTGTTTTATTTTTCAGTTTTATTTCAATATATAGTATAATTGTATATTAATTTTGATTTTTTAAGGAAAAAAATTATATTTTTATTTTTAATTTTATTTAAATAAATGACATAATAAAACATGAATTTTGGTTGTAAAATTCATGTTTTATTATGAATGACTTAGACTAATTTGATTTTTTAGTTTTATTCCAATAGATAGTATAATTGTATACTAATTATAATTTTTTAAGAAATAATTACATTTTTATTTTTGATTTAATTTCAATAAATGACACAATAGAACATCAATTTTGGTTATTAAATTTAAAATATTTGATATTTTAGTTTTAATTGGAGTATTTGTGGTCTAAGTATAATATATTAAATTTGAGGGGTATAAGTATTATACTCCTATAAACTTTAGGAAATTTAGATGTAATTTACTAACGAATCTACTATTGGACATTTGACAACAGGGGTCTGAGTGTTACGAGCGTAAACCTTTAAGGGGTATGTTTGTAATATTTTAAATGTCAGGGGTCTGAATGATTAAATAATAAACCTCAGGAGGTCTAGGTGTAATTCTCTCAAAAAATAATACTATTGTGAGCAAATTTGTTGACATAATTTTTTTTTTTTGTGGTATGGTGGCTACTTTGTTAATTTATTAAATTGATAATGGGTTTCAACAAATACTAAAACTCATTGTCAAATCAATGGTTGTAACTGTGAATAATTTGGTTAGCAAATTAAGTTCAAGTAGTATCGCTCTAAAAAAAAATACTTTTTAAACTTAATTTAGAGACTTAATGTAGGGATCTAATCGACTATAACTATTAGATTGAAAATAGATTCTATCTAACATTGTAACTCATAACTAAACTAATTGTTGTGTTGTATTAAATAAGTCAAAAAAACATTGTCAATTCTTTCTAGAATACAAAATTAGGGTAAATTTTAGTAAGGAACAAATAATAAGCTAGCTAACACAATAAATTTATTTAATTACGCTACATTTAGTACATGGTATTAGACCTTCGGAATGAAATGGTCATTCTTTAGTAATAATACCCATTCCTTTGTTTGGTTTGTGGGGACAAAATTTCATTCTCATTCCTAAAGAATAACTAATCCCATAAATAATGGGATTAGTCATTCCCAAATAAACCAAGGTATTAGTCATTCCTTTACCGCCGGTAATCAATCTAAATTAAGTCGACAAAAAACTCGATCGTCCTATTCCTCTCTGTCTCTTGCTCTTCTCATCACTGCTCATCATTTAGTCCTCATCCTTATTCTCTCCTCTCATTTTCTCTCTTTTCCTCCCTTCTCCTCACTTAACCTCTGTGAATTTTCCTATATCAACGGGAAGCATGACCGACCATCCCTCCCTAGCCATTGTCAACTTCTTCCTCATCTCTTTGTGATGCAAGGGACAAGATTGATGAGCAAACCAGATTTGGCATTGCCATTAATCTCAAGTAACTCTTCACTTGGCCCATGGGATTTATCATTTTATAGTTTGGTTGATGGTTAATGGTCTTCACTACAGTGATACTTCATTTTTTTTCTAGGGTTTTGGAGATATGTATTTGATTTACAAGCATATAATTTGTTTACCTCTTCTCTATATTGTTTGTTTTTTCACATTGATTGTTGAATATATCTATAAACATACCTGTTTGTAATTGGGTTGTAGTGATTTGGGTCTTGCTTTGAAGGTGTTTGAGAAAATTTCTAACAGAAGCATGGTTGGCTAGATTTCTTTAATTGATGTTTTTTTTTTTTGGATAATGATATACCCCTTAAGGCTATAAAATTATTCCAGAAATGGTGGAATATGTATTTAGCAATTTCTAATAAGTAAATTTCATGTACCTGACATGTATCTTGAAGATGTTTTATGTATAAGTTTCAGATACAAATTTCTTGATTTTTACAATGGTGGACCCTAAAAGTAACCTGCAATTCACATGTCTATTAGTAACATTTCCTTTTCTTTTTAAAAAATGATGATTTTTGACCTTCTAGTTTTGACACAATCTTGAAGAATTATGGTAGAAGAGATAGACACACATTTTGCAGGTTGATCATAGCTATTTTGTATGTTAAAATAGTTTGTTGGACAACTGTTGGCCATGGTTCACCAACATTCTGTTTGGTTAATATTTGGAAGGATATCACATACCACTTCTTGTACATCAAGAATAGTTGTGCTCTGATCGATGTGTTTTTTTTTTTTTTTGCTAAGATAGAACAGGCAAAGAACTTATTAATAAAGGTCCTCTCAAACAAGTTGGCTGCTTGTTAATGTTTATGGTTTGCATTGTGAATGTCATTGACTACTCTACTTTACATGATTTTGAACTACAGTGTTCAGTTGTTAGCTTGTGAATTCATTAAATATCACAAGTTCATGAATATTGATTGTGTTTAAATAGTCTGCAAGTCATTCATTATTGCACAAGTTCATGAATATTGATTCTTTAAATGCCAATATTGCAGAAGTAGAAATCACATAATCTAACAACACCACTTTATTAGGTTAGTCTTCCAGCATCGAGTTCTTAGAATTTCAGCAATTACAAATCTAATCATAGTGAACAACTCTCTTTTTTGCTCACTTTTGTTTCTACTAGTTGGTGCCCACATGCGTTGCACGTGAATTATTTTTTGTCTTTTTTTTCAAATTTCTATACTCTGCTTTTGTCAAGTTTTTCTTATATTGTGGATAGTAAATTTAAATATTATGTTTTTATTTTAGTATTGAAAATCCAAGACATAACAATTGTTAAGAAAAAAGAAAAATGTGAACAAGGATTGGATTAATGATAAAATATAATCCTGGGTTGCCAACAATAATTTGATTGATGATTAAGAAATAATATTTTTGGTTCAGTTCTCCACCTTAATGATCGTTAGGTCTAAATTTGATAATGGAGTTTTGTAATAAAAATTGTTCTTGAGCCGATTTTCTTAGACTTTATTGTCTCAAAGCTCTTGTTTTTTTTTTTTTGTAAATTAATTTAATTATGAAAGGATCAATATTAATGCTTTATTACACTACTTTTTATCATGACTCATAGACCTTACATATTAGAATCCTATAAAAAAAAAGTAGTATTTTTTGGGGCCAACGTAATCTTGTAAGTACTAAAACTTATGTAGTGTGCGAGAAATCTGTTTTACTTAATTCCTTCATTTATTGTTGTAGATATAGATATTGTGAATTAAAAAATATATATATCCAAAATAGGTTTTTTAAAAAAAAAAACTATAACAAATACCAAATTAGATAAACTAAATGTAAGTTTCTTGACTTATTCATATTTATATATTTAGAAGAATATATGTTTCTAAACATTGCTTGCGGCTACAAGAAATTAGTTGTAAGATTTCTATAATTTTTTGAGTTATATGTACACACATGAAATTCTTTCTTTTCCCTTTTTTATGAAACAAAAATAAAATGAAATCTGGTCACAAAGAAATGTCATGAATAAACCTGAAATATCAAAAATCTCATGGTTACACATGAAATTTTGAGTGACTATAAAAAAAATCCTTTCCTCATTATTAGTCCATCAACCAATTCCATAGCATTACAACACTAAGAAGATCATGTAAAGAGATTGGTGGCACTGAGTGAAATAATCCACAAACTTGTTGGTAAAACCTGATGATCCTGTCCATTCTTCACATAAGCATGGAACTTATGCCTTTGAGTTGAAATTTGAGGACAATTTAATCAAAATTTAATTGTATGATATCATGTTTTTGGTCGAAGCCATGACTTCCATGCTATTAGGAGCATTTCTACAAA